TACACGACAGCATTCCCTTCCCTGTTGTGCACACGACACGGTTGAGAACCGCACAGCCCCGCAAGCCAGGGTGTAGTTGGTGGCTGAGCCGAATTCTAACCCCTATTTTATAAACAGCAGGGCTTGGTACTCTTTCTCTTCGCCAGAGCCTTACTGAGTGCTCTGAAGTCAAGCCTGCGTGTTAGGTAGAAATAAGGTCTTGTGTCAGATCAGTTAAGTACCAAGGAGATTTCTTTGTCTTCGAAGCTGTTTGAGTGTAGCATTCTGTTTCATTGATGGGGGGAGAAAGAGGACAGAGTTAGAGCTGACCTCATTGCCCAGTGGTTAAGCGCTGTGTAGAGGGAGCTGGAGCCCATGTGGCTGACCACTGTTTGAATCCTGGCCACAGCGGCTTGAAAAGAACTGAGCACCTGCCTGCATGCTGGGGTCCCAACAGGATGAAGTGGAGAGGGGGCATGCTGCTGCATAGCCGGGCCCTGTGAGGGGTGCATTCTGTCTTGCACGTGAGCACACTTGTGCCTGCACACACATGTCTTGGCATTAAAGGAAAAGACAGACCTAGACCAGAGCTAGAGTTACATCAAATTATTGGCCCAAGCTTAGGATGACAAGGATAAAAGTCTTCTTTCTCTTAACACCCATTAAACACCCCGCTGGGTGCACTATTAGGTGCCAGGGAAGCAGCAGAGATTTCTAAAACAGCCCTTGTCCTGGGGACACTTACGCTGTAGCAAGGGAGGCCTGCTGAGGTTTCTTAGAGCTCAGGCCGGTGTGAAGGATCTGCTCTTCCTGCCTCTGCCAAGTCTCAGAGACGCTGACAAGTGAGCTATATCTGAAGAAAATTATCTCCCCAGATAAGAATAGTTGTGTGCAAAAGTGAAGAAGGACTTGGTGTGTCTGCCGAGGTTTGGTGTGTCGGACAGGTCAAGGGTGAGTGACGGCAGGTGAATCGGGAAAGTACCAGGTTTTGACAGGCAGAACAAAGGAATGGTAACGTTTTAAAAATCAATTTTGTTAGCACGTGTTGCTGCCTGTTGGGAGAATTGAGGGAGTAGGGAGCCACTGGAAATAGATCAGTTGGGAAACTCAGAATACTCAAGAGGAGAAGTGGACTGGTGGGGGGGGGGGGGAGGAGGGAACTAGAAGGAGGAGGGGAATGGGGCGGGGGGGGGGGGATGGATGGAACTGAGAAATAAGGTCACTAAACCTGGTCAACCGGAAGGGCTGGGGCAGGGTGCAGAGACGGAGTGTCTCCTGCATTGCAAAGTCGTGGAACCTGGCTGCTTTCTGACATACCGAGGACAGGGCGTCTCAGTGGACATGGCTTCCTGCCAGTGGGCGCCAGTGGCCCGGTGCTCAGGAAAGAGGGTAGGAGTGGGGTGCTTTATGTGCATGGTCAGCTTGAGCAAGTACTCGAAGCCACAGGAGTGTTAACAGGACCCCCAAGAGGAAGGTGTGAGAAGTCAGCGGGCAACCAGGACGGGCGAGGGAGGACCTGGAGCTGACACAGCATTGCAGATGGGAGACTCTGTAACCTGCCTAAGGAAGAGTGGCAGGAAAAGAGCCAGTGTCCTCAGAGCTAAGGAGGGGGTCATCGTCACTGCCCGAAAAGACAGACTGAAGGGCCTCATTGGGTTCTGTCCAGAGGGGTAATCTTGGGAAGAGCCCCACTCCCCATCTCTCCATTTTACCCCCAGAGGGGGTAGAGCCAGAGGGCCGAAGCTGACTTACACACGGGGGTGAGGTGGAAACAAGGCGCAGAAATTTCAGTGCCTGCCTGGAAGACCCAGCGGGTTTCCCGCGTCCAGACTGCATCCCAGAAGCGTGGTACTGCCTTCACTTGAAAAAGAAAGTGGGAGCCCAGGAGGGGAGGGGCGAGCTGTGTCAGTCTCGGCCCTTTCCCTGAACTGCCACCAGGTGGCGCTCGTGCCCCAGCCGTGCCCTGTTAGCACTCACAGCAGGTCGCGCTCTCCTCTTTCCGTGAACTGCCACGAGGTGGCGCTCGTGCCCCAGCCATGCCCTGTTAGCAGCAGTCACAGCAGGTCGCTAGACTCTCCTCTCTCCGTCCGCCCCACAGAACAGCTCCAGCAGAAGGACCAGCAGATCCTGCTCTTACTGGAAGAGAAGGAGATGATCTTCCGCGATATGACTGAGTGCAGCACTCCCTTGACGGAGGATTGCTCCCCGGCGCACAGCCCGAGAGTCCTCTTCCGCTCCAACACAGAAGAGGCTCTCAAAGGAGGACCGTTAATGAAAAGTGCAATAAATGAGGGTAATTGACATTTTTCATTGACCCCTTTTGTTACGGAACAGGTGTTATTTTCCTCCTGTAATATAATGCACAGGTACAGAACCTCACCCGAAACAAATACGTGGCCGTAGCCGACTGTAAATGTGTGAACAACTTCATAATCTCTACCCAGGTCAAGAGAGAAAATTGGGCTCGACCTCCTAAAACCTCCCACGTGCCCTGTCCCCATCATTCCTCCCTCAGTCCTAACGGAGCCGGTATTCTGACTTGTACCAGCAATCATTTCCTCCTTGTTTCTTGATGGTTTTCATGGCCCAAGTTCTTGTTCCCGAACACTGAAGTTGAGTCTCGCTCACGTTGGGTTTTTGTTTAAGGTTTATTTGTCATAAGGCATGTGTCCTCGAGAAAGACAGAGAGAAAGTGAGGAATCTCCCCCACAGGTGGGTGGTCACACTGCAGTCCCTTCTCTATTCTCCTTGAGATTTTGGACATGGGCCCAGCATGATCTTCAAGCCACTGGGTCACTGACCATGTCGGAGTCTCGCATCTTAACTGTCATGCCACCTGCCAGCCCTTATTCATATTTTTGTGATAAGCATTTTCTTAGAGAGAGATTTTCATTATAGGGTGCATGCACTCGTTGGAGAGATAGAGAATGGAGAAGGATTACGGCGTGGCCATCTCCCTGGGGTATTTTGGCCACCCACCCACACGCAGAGTCTGAAACTCAAACCACAGTTGACTGCATGGGACTCCAGCGACGTAACCATTATGCCATCTGCTGGTCCCTTGATATGCATTTTAGGATTCTTCATTTGTAGTCGTCCCCCTGCCCCCATCCCTTCCTTCTTTCCTCCTTTCCCTCTTTCCCCTTCAGTTTATCTTTGAGTGGTCAGAGCTGTTCGACCTCGAGGGTTGCTTACAGCATGGATTTTCTTCAGGCAGCAGTTGTGTCCTGGTCCTGCCGGTCCGCGGCTGGCTTCAAGGGCTTCGTTGCTCAGACTCGATTGCTTTGGCAAGCAGTGTTCTTGTCGTGTTGTGTTCTTAGTGGGAGACCCAGAAGATCCGGTCGGGCCTTTTCCTGGGACCTACAGGGAAAGCAAGATAAAAAGGGAAATGCTTCATCTTTTTATTTTTCCTTATTTTTGCTTTATTGATGTATGTTCAAGATAGTGAATTGGTTTATGGTCACCTTAAGGCAACCTATCCTTTTCTTTTCTTGTTCATATGATAGTGGATTTGGGACCAGCAGATAGCATAAGTCTTTACATCGGGGGACTCCTACATAGTCCAGTACGGTTCGAGTCCCAAACCTGGTGGCTTCAAACTCACACTGGGCATATGTGCGTATGTGCCCCAAGATCCCCAGAGGAGACTAGAGAAGGGATTGCAGCGTGGCCATCCGCCGTGGGGGAGTGATTTCTTGTTTTCTCTCTGGCAAGCACATGCACCCTAGAGCAAGAATCGCTCTTAAATAAAAAAAGAATATAAAAGTGGATTCATGAATTGTAGCATATGTGATAGGTCAGTGTAGTTCCCAACCTGACTGAAAACTCACAGCGCCCCGAGTTTGCCGGCGAGCACCTTTGTGTTGGGCCCGAGTCCTGATGCTAAGGCCGTAGCTGTCTCCTGGGGCTTCTCTGCCATCTGGCCTACTGAGACGTTCCAGGCACGTCTGGATCACTTTCTGTCCCAGTCCTGGAGTCATCCATTTCTTCAACACCTCTGGTTCTGTGTAGTGGGAAATATTTCAAGACCACAGTCCTGACCGTAGGGGTGGTCACTGCTACTATATTTTTCACTGTTGCTACGGGGCCCCTCTAGTGGACAGAGCTTAGGGGGAAAAGTTTGTATCCATTAATTCACATTGACGTGTCTAGTCACATTTTGTGGGGTTTTTCCTTCCTTTCCCATGTTCCGTTAGTATTTCCTTTTTCCCACATTGTGAATCCTCACGCTCAAGGATACACGATGGAAGGGGAGTATTCTGTGTTTATCCGGGCATCGCAGCTCCACCAGTGCGACTTGTACATGTTGTCCTCATCTCTCCTTTTTAAAAATAGTTGTACTGAGGCGTAGGGGTTAAGGCGTTGAACTGCCCCAGAGGCGACCCTGGTTCAAGTGCCAGACCCGGTGGCTTGAAAATCACACCAGGCACATGTGCATGCATGTCCAAAATGCCAAGAGGAGACTGGAGAAGGGATTGAGGCGTGGCCATTCCCTCTGAGGGTCAGTTTCTCACTTTTTCTCTCTCTGGCGAACACACGCACCCTATGAGAAAAACCTTAAGGAAATAAATAAATAAAAAGTGTTACTGTGTCTGTGCTGTCTGTGCCCTTCCCTCGTTGGCCCTGACTTAGAGCGCTTGTTCTGCAAGTAAGCGGAGTTGTTGCTCCCCCGCAGTCCTTAGGGCAGTGTCCCGTTCTGCCCTGTGGTGTCCGAAGCTTACTCCTGGGCGGTTACCTTGGGAAGGTGCGTGGGAATAATAGTCTCTGAGCTCCTGCACCTTGATAATAAGCTGTGCCCTTTATACTTGAAGTCTGTTCTGCTGCATATAAAAATCTGTAGCTCATAGTTTTTTTCCTGTGGGTATTTTAATTCTCAGATACGTCATTTTTACTTTTATTCTGGCCTGAAAGCGTTGACGCCAGTCTGGTGGTAATTTGATTTTCCACGTAGAAGTCATGTGCTCTTTGCCAGAAGGTTTCTTCCATGTCCACGTAGTTTTACTCGAATATGTGTTAGTGTCGGTTGCTCTGGATTGATGTTCTCTGGTTTATCATGTTTTGTTTTGATCTGTCGTCTCAGAGTTTTCGTATTTCTGAAAAGTGTTCTTTTAGGTTTTTGCCACAGGGGCCCATGTGCTTGCCAGAAAGAGCGGGGTTTGGGAGGTGGTGGAGAAATCACCCCCCCAGGGGATAATGGCCATGCCACAGTCCTTTCTCTTCTTTTAGAATTATGGACACACACACACACACACACACACACACACACCATGATTTTCTAAGTGCTGGGTCCAGGACTTGAGCCATATTAGGCCATGTGGGAGTCCAGCACCTTAGCCACCTCACCATCTCCTGGCCCTGAATTTCTGGGTTTTTGTTGTTTTTTAGGTTTTTCATATAGGCTATGTGTGCTTACCAGAACAGGCCAGTTGGGGGCAGAGTGAGCAATCATCCCTCAGAAGGGATGGCCTCATCACATTTCCCTAGCCTGGTTTAAATAAGGTAGAAGGATTTTGTCTGTAAATTCCCAAGAGAATCCAACTGAAACATCCCCCCTGAACTGAAGACCCTTCCTTGAGCAAGACAAGTCACCTACTCCCTCTGTGAGCATTCTGTCCTACTCCTGTACGCATCATGCATTGCTGTGAGGTGACTTCTCCCCCTCTGCAAGACGAGATGTCATCGTGTGTTTCTTCTCTTCCAGTGGAGCTCCTTCAGGGTTTAGTGAGCGGGAGCCTGGGCGGCACCCTCGGGCAGGCTGTCTGCAGCCCCGTTGAGCAAGAAGGCTTGGTCGGCCCTGTTTCCTTGCCCCGGAGAGCCGAGACCTTTGGAGGCTTTGACAGCCATCAGATGAATGCTTCAAAAGGTAAACGATTTGAGCTCATGTGCCTTTGTAGGCGATCTGACCGTCGCACACAAGTAAAAACAACCTCTGTTCTCATGGTTCACCTCTTCTGTCTCATTCCATCACTCAGTCTGTTAGTGAGTTTTTTGTTTTTTAAGAGATTTTTTGCTGTGTGGCATGTGCACTCATCAGAGAGACAGACAGAAAACGAGAAATCACCCCCCAAGGGGGATGGCCACGCCGCAGTCGCTTCTCCTCCAGTCTCCTCTCGAGACTTTGGGCACGCACACTCATGCACCCAGTCTGAGCTTTAAACCACCGGGTCTGGGACTCAAAGCACAGTCAGGTACGTGGGAGTCCAATGATGTATTCAGTGAGTTCTTAACATGCCCTGGAATCGGTCAGAGTCACGTTCATTTTGAGTAATAGGAAAGATTTTCTTGACATTCCCCCCAAGCTGTAGCCATTGCTGCGTGCGATACGATCCGCGGTGATAATTCTCGTTCTCTCTTGCTGCTGCTAGTCCTGCATCAGTGAGATGATCAGCGACCACTGCCACTAAGTGGCTACCCTTTTCTGGGCATTAATAGGATTCAGAAAGATCATATCCCTAAGCTGTCTACATTGTGTCCTTGGCTAGGCTGCTTCACGGTTTGAAAACACCACCACCATCACCAAACGTGTGTGTTTGTTGTTTAGGAGGCGAGAAGGAAGAGGGAGACGACGGCCAAGATCTCAGGAGAACAGAGTCAGAGAGCGGTCTGAAAAAGGTATCGGTTTCCAAAACAAACTGAGAACCTCCTCGTCCTCGGGATTTCCCTTTGGGTTTCTAAGCTTAGAAATGATTACACTTTGTCATATTTTGAATGCTTGGCTAGCTGCTTTTAATGAAATCTTACTTTATTTGTAGGGGAAAACAATTCCTTTTTTGTTGTTGTTGATTTTTATTATTATTATTTTTTTCGTTTTTTGCCATAGGGCACATGCACTTAACAGAAAGAGACAGAGAGAGAGAGAAGGAGGCGGAGTGGGAAATCACCCCTCAGGGGGATGCCCATGCTGCAGACCCTTCTCCTCCATTTTCCTTGGGGATTTTGGGCCCAGTGTGAGTGTCAAGCTGCCAGTTTCAAGAACTGGTCACATGGGATCCAACGCTTTAACCTCCATACCACCTGCTGGCCCTGGGAAAGCATGTTTTAAAGGCAAACAATATACTTAAGAGTTGCACCATGATTGGCTCCTTGGCCACTCTGACTTAGAGCGATATGTTATTGTTTTTTGTCATTTTTAATTTGCCAGAGGGTGTATGCACTCAGAAGGAAAAGCAAAAGGGAGAGCAAGAAAGTACCCCCTGGGGGATAGTCACACTACGACCCTGTCTCCTCCATTTCTCCATCCTTTTGGGATTCTGGGCATGCATACATATATACTCATGTTCCTCAAGCTGGTTGGGTCCAGGGCTCCAACCATGCAGTCGCCATGTGGACAGTGCCTGAAGCCCCAAGCTACAGGCTGGCCCGGGAGCCGAGTGTAACGTTCATAACTGCCATGGCCTTGGAAGGAGCAGTTTAATGAAGGGATTTATTTCAGGTGCTGCAGACCTCTTTACAAGGCTTTGGGTTAAACGGTTCGGCCTCAGGCCTGTTCCACATCACAATGAGGGGCTATTAGAAAAGAAAGAAAATGGGAAGATATTGAGCATGATGTTGCATTAGGACATTATTTATTTATTTATTCCATTTTATTTATTTATTTATTTTTAATTAACGAGAGACCGAAAGTGAGAAAGCAAGCTGCCAGTTCCAGGACTCCGTCTGTAGTCAGCCATGTGCAAGTCCAGCGCCTCAGCCACCATCAGGACATTTGTTAAATGCATGCCTTTTGTTTTATAGGGTGGAAATGGCAACCTGGTGTTTATGCTTAAGAGAAACAGTGAGGTAAGGACAGCATACACGACTTACAAGAACATGTGTTTCTGAGAACTCTCAGGAACAGTTCATTTTTTGTTTTGCTGATGCAAACGAGCTAACTCCTGGCTGTATTCTAGACACAGACAGGACAGTCGTCAGTGGCCTTGACCTTCCCAGCTACAGTATTGCCCACTGGTCCTCTGTCTTTCGGAGTCTCCTGCTCTTAACGCGGTCTCTAGACAAGGGCTGCAAAGCCCCCTGCTGGTTTCCTTCCTCTGAGCACTGGACTGCCGAGGATTCGTAGTAGCATTTCCTTCTTAAAATTTTTTTGGTGTAGGGCACGTGCGCTCGCTGGAAAGAGACAGAGACAATGAGAGGGAAAGTGACGAATCACCCTCAAAGGGAGGGAGGCCATTCCACAGTCGTCTCTCCCATTCTCCTGGGGTTGTGGGAGCACACACACATGATTTTCAAGCCACCAAGTCTGGGACTCGAACTCTTAAGTGGCATTCCTTTCTTTTATTTAGTTTCAAATACAGTTGAGTTACTTGTAGTGTTCTGTTGTTGGCCATTTGTATTTTCTTATTTGATGAAGTGCTGGTTTATCTTCCTGGCTTGTTTTTCTATCAGGGTATATATTTATTCTTTTTAAATTTGCTAGAGAGCATGTACATTCACCAGAGACCTGGGGGAGGGGGTCTGAGAAAGCACCGGGGGATGGCCACGCTGTTTCCTTCTCCTCCATTCTCTTGGGATTTGGGGCACATGTGCACACAAGCACACACACACACATGCGCGCACACACACACACACACACACACACACAAATCTGGCATGTTTTTCAAGTCTCCAGGTCCAGGACTTGAACTGTAAATCAGCCATGTAGGATCCAGGCACCCTAACAACTGTGCCACTGGCTGGCCCCTGTGCATTTATTTCTTTACTGATCTATGGGAGCCTTTTAAAAACATATATGTATACACTTTTTTTTTCATTCATTTATTTTAATTTGATGAGAGAGAGAGAGGGAAAGTCAGAGAGCAAGCCACCAGGTACAGGACTTGAACCTTGATTGGCCATGTGGGAGTGTCCAGCACCTTAACCACCATGCCACTTGCTAATCCCTAAAAACATACACACACACACACACATATATACACACACACATGCATACATACATACATATTCACACACATATATACACATTTTTTTTTGCTTGATTTTGTGCCCAAGTTTGTCTTTTGCCTTTAATTTTAATTTTACATTTTTACATAGTAAGTCTGTGTAGTTTCTGCTGTTGCTTCTGTGCTTTGAAAAGCTTTTGCCTTTATTTTGGGGTGGAGGGGGCAGCTAGAGGACACATGCACACCAGAGAGAGACAGAGATGGAGAGGAGAAAGCATACCCTCATGGGGATGCTGGTCCCTTGTAATGCATTCTCACGCGTGCTGACGTGCTACGTACAGTTACTTTGTTTGGTCATCTTTTGTTTTTCTTACTAGTTGGACCCGCTTTAATACTTTAATTCTCTTCGGTGCATTTTTTTTTTTTTTTGAGTGGTTTTTGCTATAGGATTTGTGCACTCACCAGAAAGACAGAGAGAGACAGAGAGACAGAAAGCGAGAAATCACCCCCTTGTGGGATGGCCATGCCGCAATCCCTTCTCCTCCATTCTCCTCTCAGGATCTTCAGCACGCACCCACACGCACCCGGCGTGAGTTTAAGTCATTGGGACCGGGACTTGAACCACGGTTGACTACATGGGAGTCCAGCGACATAGCCATTACACTAACTGCTGGTCCCAGTGCCTTTTTTTTCAAAAAAAAAAAAAAAAAAGAGAGAGATTTTTACTATAGGATATGTGCACTTTCTGGAGAGACAGAAAGTGAGAAATCATTCCCTGAGGTGATGGCTACGTTGGAGTTCCTCCTCCTGCATTCTCCTCTCAGGATTTTGGGCACACATGCACATGCCAGATCCGAGACTTGAACCTTCGTCAACGCCCTGGGAGTCTAGCGCCTTAACCACCACACCACTTGCTAGGCCCCTCTTTGGTGCTATTAAGATGCAAGCATCGTGTATATTCAGGAAGTTGTCTTGTCAGGTGGCTGTGAGATGTGCAGGGTTCTGAGGGCGGTGACATGCTGCAATAAACGCTGCTCTTTGTTCCCTCTGCAGCAGGTGGTCCAGAGCATCGTCCACCTCCACGAGCTCCTCAGCACCCTGCAGGTACGTGGCTCCTCCTCCTCCTCGCTCCCTACACTCACCAGCTTAGAGGACACAGGAGGGGGACTGTTGTTTTCCTAGGTTTCTGAGGTGTGTCAGTTGTTCATGGGGGAATGAGACCCTCAGTCTAGACACGATGGGCTCCGGTGAGGAAGTGGGTAGGTCCCATCAGCCTGTGAGACTAGCCTTGCTGACGGGACTGGCTGCCGCCCCGCCTCAGCGCACAGATAGTGCCGGCCTGCACTCAGACCATGCACACAGAAGGCCTTGGGCGTCAGTGTGGGTTCCCACATGCCTCATCCTCGCGTGCTATTTGGAGAGATGGTCCTTCCCCAAGAACTATGGTTCAGGAATTTCCAGGAATGGCCCAAATGCTGCTCACTTCCTTCTTTGGATGTGTAACCTGACTCGGCCCTACCTTCCCCCATCTGAAAAACACATGCTCAGCCCACCCGGGTCACGCCAGTCACTGCAGACAGCGTGTGACCAGATGTGACACACACTCAGCTCCTACACCTTTGCCTTCCCGTTCAAGAACTGTCCATGGTTACCTGGAGTCTCTACCAGACCAACCTCAACTGTGCAGGGAGTCAGAGTCTGCCGCAGTGCTTGGTGCCCCGGGGTGGGGACCGTGTGGTCTCAGAGGTGGCTCTCCCGTGCGCTCCTGCAGGGTGTGGTGTTGCAGCAAGACAGCTACATCGAGGACCAGAAGCTGGTGCTGAGCGAGAGGGCGCTGACCCGGAGCTCGTCGCGCCCCAGCTCCCTGATCGAGCAGGAGAAGCAGCGCAGCCTGGAGAAGCAGCGCCAGGACCTGGCCAACCTGCAGCGGCAGCAGGCGCAGCACCAGGAGGAGAAGCGCCGGCGCGAGCGCGAGTGGGAGGCCCGCGAGCGGGAACTGCGGGAACGCGAGGCCCGCCTGGCCCAGCGTGAGGAGCAGCTGCAGCTCGGGCAGCAGGACCTGGACCGTGAACGGGAGGAGCTGCAGCAGAAGAAGGGCGCCTACCAGCATGACCTGGAGCGGCTGCGTGCCGCCCAGAGACAGCTGGAGAGGGAGCAGGAGCAGCTGCGCCGGGACACTGAGCGGCTCAGCCCAGGGCAGCCGGGCCGGGACCTGTG